AAAAAAAAAAAAAAAAAAGAAACTTATCGAGATAAAATAGAATGGTACTGTTGAACACTGATGCCAAATGTTAGGCCTATAGAAAAGTAGTCGTATTGTCTGATTACTTGTGTCATTTGATCATCTATTTATCTATCAATTTTCTAGCCTAATATTTTCTTCATCAAACACTAGCTTTTAGCTTTTTACCATTTTCTTACATACAGCTCAAAAATTGTGTTTAAGCTAAAGTTTTTGGATTGTTGACGTGGTTTGAATAATTAGCAAAAACCTTTTCTCCTTTTTTTTTTTTTTTTTTATAGGCTGTATTCCACTGCATTGTAATTCCTTATTCAAATAAGCTGTGTTTTGACAATTTCGACCTTTAAAATTTCTGATATTTTTGGTAAACTACTGCTCTCGACAGTGCTTTCTAGTACTAAGTTTTATCAAAAAGATAAAGAAAAAAAAGTTTTGACCTGAAACTATTTGACTGTATAAAATTGGTATGTCATCTCTCCAATTCTTGTTTTTTTCTCTTTTTTTTCTCAATACTCGAAAGGTTTATTGCATATATGTTTGTATAAATGACTTTTATTTGGTTTTTCTATTCAGAATTGCAGATTGTATATGTACTAAAAACCATAGATTTTATGAGACAATTATTGTCATTTTTTGTTTCAAGAAGAATTAGAAATCTATTTCTTGTACTTTTAACTCGACAACTGACTTTTTTTTCTCTCTGCTACTTTGAAATGTTACAGTGGACAAGAAATAACCGATCTTTAAGGCAATGAAACGTCGTTATTAATTCAAGGTTTCCTGCCAGAACGGCGATAAACTTTTGCTGCATTTCCTACAACTCTGAATGTTAAGCCTGGGCAACGCTTTTGATGAAAAAAATTTTTGATAGACGAATAGCAACAACAAAAAAAAAAGATGCTGATATGTTAAAAATTTTGAAATAACAAGAGGAATTTATTTGCTTGTCTAAGTATTTTTTGTAATCATAATTTTATCAGAACTAGCCAAAACTTTTGTTATCAATTTTGCGCAATATCAATAAAACACTGAAAAAGTAGACCAAGAAGCCCAAACGAGGCTAGAAAAAATATGTTTAAAAATTTAAAAAGTTAGAACTTTTTAAAGCAGAATTAGAATTTGACTAGATATATTTGTAAGGTTATTTAATTTATTCAGTAAAAAATGAGAAGTTAACAATACATATAATTATATTTGAAGAAATAAAGTTTAAAAGATTAAAGTGAATAAAATCAAATCAATAATTTAAATTTTTGCTCTGTCTTTCAATCTTTTCTCCCCACTACTTTGGACAGGAAAAACCAGTCAAAAAAAGCATTATTTTTCATATCATTACTTCTAAAATTAACCTTAAGTTACGCAATTTGTCTCAGTTTGGCCGTTTCATTGTCAGTTCTTTATTTCCCCCCCCCCCCTCCCCCCTTCCAAATTTTACTTTGATTCAAAGTTGTTTTGATTTCACAGCATTTCTTCGTTTGCTTTGATTGAGTTCGTTTTTTTCTTGGTTATCTTTTTTTTGAAAAATTTAACAACTTTATTGAATGCTGACTGCCGGAGAACTGCTAAATTATACGTATGCATTCAGTTTGCTCAATTGACAGTTGTAATGCTTTCTGATTACACTGTTTTCTGTCCAAGAATTCTCTTCAGCCTTTTAAACAGAGGAATGATCACTGTATCTCTGTTGACAGAGATTATCGACAATATATTAGACATCTTAAATCTTAAAACATTTCTGCATTTGCTTGTATCGCTAATGCTGCATTGAAGATGTAAAATTTTAATGTCTTTGTTATTAGTAATATCATAATTTTGTTCCTCTTGTTATTAATCTGTTAATAATGGTTTGAACTGCTCTCATGTCGTTACTTGGAGTGATTAAGGATTGCTCCTTAGAATGTTAGGATCATCTGCAATCTTCTTCTTCTTTTTCTTCTCTTTTATATTTGTTGATACATAATATTTAATACATAATATTAACAAAAATGACACAGAAAAAAATATTGTTTACAATAGGGATAATCAACAGATACCAAACTGTGATGAACACCAATAAATTTACGGTGTTTAATTGAACAAAAAAAAAAAGAATAACTTTTTTAACATTATTCAGTGAGATAAAATGAAACTGTAGTAATCTTTGTCTCGTCTGTTGATGCTTCAAATTGTTCAGTGAAAAAGTTGTTTTGGGATTGCTAAATGATCTGATCACACACCAAACACTTAATAAAAAACGACTGCAGCGATAGAACACGCACCATAACTGATGCATGCAATTCTTTTTGGTTGGTTCTTTTATTTCCTTTTACATTTTCAAATCAACTTTTCTAGTATTATGTAGTTTTGGTCGATATATTTCCGATCAACTTATTGACAGATGTTCTTTTGTTTGTTTGTTTGTTTATTTGTTTGTTTGTTTATTTGTTTGTTTGTTTATTTGTTTGTTTGTTTGTTTATTTGTTTGTTTGTTGGTTGGTTGATGACGTTGACGATGATAATATTTTTTGTTTTGAGAACACTTTTTTTCTTTACGATAGCGAATTGTTGCTGTTCAGTTATTCTTTCTGCACCAAATAACCAAACATCACTTTTGCGAAAACGTCAATGAAAAAAAAGAACAACAAGGGAAAATGAACTTTGCACTGTTTCGAAATATAAATCTTCAAAATATATTTGCAAAAAAAATAAATAAATAAAATAAAATAAAATAAAATAAAGCAATCTGAAAAATAAACAACAATTTACTAAATGTTAACACTTAGTTTACTGTTCTTTGATAAGTTAAATTATAGCCGTTCGTTTGAACGCTGTAATCTGTTTGTCTTCTTTTTTTTTCTCTCTCCCTCTCTCTTTTTATTTCTGATTACTTTATTAGTCAACGAAAACAATGATATAAAATTGATGTATTATTTGCATTAGTTGGTTTTTTTATCAACAACCTGAGTGGTACAATGCTAAGAGCACAATGTTCACTGAGAATTTACTTCCCTGCACCGTCCACCCCCGCCCAACTAACAGCTGTTTGATATGTATGAAAAAATTCAAGTACTCGGGGCAACAATGTTTATTATCAATGCCGATGTTTTGTAAACGAGTGATAAATACACTGCCTGCAAAACTTCCGCTGCTGATTTAATTATACAACTAAAAAAAAAAAAATTTGTCACCGATTTTTCCACTCACTGTTTTATTATTATTACTTTATTCATGCGTTTTTTCTCTCTCTATTTGTAAGAGTGGAGTACTATATGTGACCTGTCTCATGAATTAATTTGAACTTTTTTCTTGCATAAGCTCAACTTCTTCTTGCTATGATTTTTTTTTTACCACAACTTATCTTCAATATAAGAAACATAGTAACTTTTGACAAATTTTCTTGTTTACGTGACTTTCTCGTTTAATCGTTTACCACCGGCATAAAGCAACAAGATAACACTGGCAAATCAGTAGGCAAATACCTGTCAGTTTGATCCTTCATAGCTAAATTTAGAAGAAAGCAACGAGAGGAAATAAGGATGATGATAATGATATGGGGAAATTTATTTCTCTATGTAATAATTTTGTAAAATAAAATTGATGGTTCTTGTGATGAAAG